TCCATTTACTCCACACAAACCTCGAAACAGTGATCAGAGAGGAGCAACATCTGGTCCTTACCTTCATAGGAAGTATGTAAACTGAGAATTTAAGGGTATAAGACTGTCTATTGCTAAAAGTCTCATCTGACTTGTTCTGCAGGGAATACTTTTTCATACTGCATGTATTCAACATGGGAGATTTAGAGTTCCAGGAGATCAATGAGTTCAATAACCTGGGTGGGTTATTTAAGGCATGCATAATTTTGTAAGTGTCAAAAATTTCATTGTGGCCAAATATTTGAAAGATAGTTTTATTTTCTGTCCTCATGGATGTAAAACGCCTAATGCCATGAGCAGGTCTGGAGAAAAACTGTAACTGCAAAATTTAAAAAAATAAAAAGGTAGACTTACTGGCTTTCTCCTGTCCTAAGTTTCCTGTATTCTCTCTCTCATAATACAAGAAAACACTCCAGACACCACATTTCTGGGGATTACCTTTCTTGGGGTTGAAGCCTTTGGCCTCATTCCTTTCCTCACAGTTAAGAGTGTTCATAAGCCCCTGGAAAGACACTGTCTGTCATGTCTTGTTGCTTGATCACAAATATTGTGATCAAGGCTGTGAATAATCTCTAACTGCTTTGACATGTTCATAATAGCTTTTGTTCTACTCTGTACCAATCCGTTTCCATTCCTTAAAGTCCCCCGACACGGTGTGTTCCAGCTTGGACGTGGTATGTGATGGTTTAGCCAGGGATATTATGAAAAAATCAGAGCAATACTTTTAACTTTTGTGGATGATAACGGTGGCTTGGAAAGTAAAAATGACCCCTCTGTAGCTATTGATATTGTTAGACACTTTTCTCCTCAGCTTGTGGGTTTTTTCCACCCTTTGGTGAAAGTTGTTGGGAAGCGGTCGGCTGAACTGGCGTTACCCTGCAAAGTGACGTGTTCACGTCAGGCTTCCTCAGCTGTGCTGTGTGCACTGAAGGCTGCGTTAACACCAGATGCCAATCATACACCACCAGTGGATTTGCAAGATTATAGGACAGGAAAAAAGATGAAGGTTAAGCACGGGGCACAATAGAGATTACTTATGGTAATGAATTGTATAATTTTTCTAGACAGATCTGGATTAATGTTTATCCCAGGCAAGAGATTACTGTATGTCTGATTCTAGTTGTAAACAGACATTATTAAACAGAAGGTTTATGTTCATGAAATGTGACTATGGGTGTTAAAGCACTTATGATTTATTATGTGCAAAAAGAAAAATTAACCTGTTCATCTGCTATAGTACAAGATGCGCTGTGGATTTTTGCATAATTTGAAAGGCATCTGCTCCTTTGGAATACAAATAACCAGTGAAATGAGAAAGATTCTCCTCTCATTTACACTGATCCAATGCCTTACAGTGCAGTGAAGTTGAAATGGTATAACCAAGAAAAGAATAGTCTTGTATATTTTTATAAAGCAATAATATTTCTGTGAGAGATAATGTTGGTAAAGTCTATTTTCTTGTGAATCTTTAGGGTATTTTCTTTTTAACTTAAAAAAAAATCGTTCAGATTGCTTAACAAATGACCTCGTTTGGGTTTTACAAGTAATTCACTTTCACTAATTGAAAACATAATGTTTAGAGACCTTGAATTTAATAATTTTTTTAAAGAATATTTTCACAATATTTATATTGCAGCCCATTTTTCTCCTGCTTTATTGCATCACTGCTGCTTAGCATAAGTGAGATACAGATACAGCATCCACAATTTTGAGTGCTGCCTTACCTCAGTAGTTAAATAATCACACCTGAGTCAGTGCCTTCTGTGTTTTAGGTAGGCTGAAAAATCTTCCCTTAAAGAAACTATAAACAAACTCCAAAACTTTTCTTATTTGAAGCAGACATTGCAACTCTATTACTTGCTGACAAGGAACTATCTTTTCACTGTGAAAGCAAAGAAAAATTACAGTTATCAAAATCTGTTTGTTCTATTTATGGGCTGTATTTGTAGCCAGCTGATTTTTACATAATGCCATTTGAAATTATCCATTTAACAATGATGGATGATACAACTGTGTTGCTCTCCCTCCACTTTGTAACTGATCTGTCTACTTATAGATTGCATTGGACATGTTGCTGATGCTTTATTTGTAAAATTCACTCACATATGTGAGAAATTTGTTTGTTAAGTCTTACTGACTTCACAGAGGCTTCTCAGATAAGTAAAAATATTCCTCTATAGAAGCAAAGCCAGCCCAATATGTGGAGCAGAAAACCTGGAAGTATCATGAGATTAAGAACTTAAGCAGTTAAACTAGACCTGAATAAAATGTAATCTGTAAGGCGTTCTGAATGCTTCAATTAAAAAAGTTACAGTCTTAAATTGCCAACAAAACACGTCATACTGCTCTTTTTTGTATTTCTTAGCTATGTTTTACATTTGGTACAACAATATATATTGTGTAATGAGAAAAATATAACTTTAACACTTGTAATATTTTGCCTAATTATCAAATTTTACAACTTCTGTTAAGAGTGAGTCCAGAGTTAAAGTGCATGAGCAAATTATTAAGCAGTAAAAGTTTGTGTGGGCTTTGTTAATGGTTCAGTATAGCATCTGAAGGCGATGAGAACTTCTGGAAGTACCCATGGGTACTGGAGGTACTTCTGGAGTGTAGATAAGAGTCCTTCAGGAAATGGGGTTAGCTGCACTATGCTGTTTAAAAGTTTGTGCAGAGAAGCATTGTATTTGGGGAGGCACTAAATTTACGTGCTGCTCGTTTCTTTGCTGTGTGTTAACAGACATCAATAAGTCATGGAGATGAACTCCATCTTCCAAAGAGAAGGAAAGCTAGAAATGAAGACACATTTCTGTTATCAGTCTGCTGGGGGTCGTAAGTTGAACTGGTGTTACATTTTCCTCCCAAAGCCACGTAGCCTTGACACAGTGTTTAACAGTGTTAAGCTTATTGCTGCTTAGCTAAACATGTCTGAAGCGAACGATGACCCTCACGTCTTTGCAATAGCAAAATGTCTCCCTGATGTGATCCCAAAGACTTGGAGCATTAAGTTAATTTTCCCCTGGATTTCTGAGCTGCCTCCTTTTTACCCGGCGGAGAGCTTGTGAGGAATACAACTTCTGACCGAATGACAGAACATGGAGGGTGAAATTAGATGCAATCAATTAGAAGATGACAAAAAGCCTATCTAAATATTTGTCAGGATGCTACTTACGGGGCATAGTGTCCAGGAGGGGAAGTGAAAGGTGGCTGCTCTCGGGACTTAATAGTCTGGGGAGAAAAAAATGGGTAAATCATCCAGATTCTTTACAGGCTTGGAACGGATAATTGAGGGTATCAAGTTGACTGCTATGCTTCCAGGGGTGGTGATCTCTCTCATGTAATCTCAGATTAGTTCTTTGCTTTTATTCACTTAATACAGAATTAACCATTACAAAGTTTTCTGGACCACGTGTAAATAATGTTGTTATTTGACCACTAGAGGATGATTAATAGAGTGGTTTCTGCGAGGTATTGAAGAAAGAAGGGCTCCACCTTCTCCTCAATATAAAAACCACACCACAAAACAACCAAACAAAACCCCAAAAACCCACAAAAATCAAAGGAATGAAAAAGGCACAGCAGATGTTTTGGCTGTGAGATTGTCAGGTTTGGACCAGAAGATTTACTGGTTTTCCAGAGGACAAAAGGATGTTCACAGAAACTAAAATTCAAAATCAGTAGTCAGTTACACAGAAAGAGATTGAGATATGCAGCATGATTTGACCACATCTGCTTATCTGTAAATTAAATTTATAGCAACTTTTTAAAAATACATGAACAAATCTCTGGCTTGTAATTTCCTGCTCAAAAAGTTTTAATTATGAAAATAAAATAAAACAGTAAGTACAGCATACCATGGTTACCTGTTTTTAATTTTTTTCGTTTCTGTTACAGCAGTTCAGGGGAGAATGTGACTATGGTAGGGTTAATCCAGCTACATAAAAATCCATGCTGTGTATGATAGTAGTAAAGCTTGTGATCCCTTGATCTTTGATTAGATCCAAGCTAGTAAATATCTTGTGTTTAATCAGAATGAGTTGTTCTGCATGTAGTATAAGTCACCTTCACAGATGGGATATAGCAGCAGAGTTGTTCACGAATATTTGTGTTAATCCTTTCCAGAACAAGCACGCTTTATGTTTCTTTGTTGTAAATCAGAGTCAAGCAACTAAATGCCAGCATGAAGGAAAGACATTTACTTGCAGTCAGGAATAGGACAGTGTGGGAACCTTTTTTCCTTTTTAAAGAAAAATGTAACTTAGTAGATTCCTAAAAGGTATTTTATACTATTCTGTAAACATAGCTAATGCACCATGGCTGCTTTTTTAGACTGGGATGCAAATATTGTAATCTAGAGTTTCATCCTAAACTGTTCATACGCATTTCTATCTTAGGCTATAAATATAAAGAGACTAAGATTTATTACGGTTAACGTTTAGCCTCTATTATTATCCTGTATTTTAAAGGTATTTAGTTATAATGGTAGCTATGCTGTGTGCTGGTAAGCTGAAATTACTAAAACATTATCTGTAAGGCTAGTTGTTTTGTGTGGTATGTCGGCGTCCTATTTACCTAAATCTGTCATAATTGCCTTCCAATACATCTTCCTCTGACATGCCAAATATTGAAAATGAGAGGACTCTTTGCTGGAAGACTTTCTACTGAATATCATTTTTCTGTGTTCATAACTTGATGGTAATAGCTGGACAACCTGTAGTTAAATGCATCTCAATTTCTCTCACTTATTTTTCCTAATCACCACACAGAGCCTTCAGTGCTCAGAGGTGTGATTAGATTTAATCTGCCATCATAGCTGAAGAACTTTCTGTACAACATATTATACATTGCAGGAATTATATATGTAAATAGTGGGTCTAAGTATAATATATAAATAGATATAAAGATGAGTTGCTCTCATGCCAAAGCTAATTCCTGGTTGGTTTTTTTTCTGTTTTTAACAGGAAGACTGGAGAGCCCCCACTAATAAATGGCTGGATTCCTTACCTTGGGAAAGCTCTGATTTTTAGAAAAGATGCTTTCAAATTCTTACTGGATCAGCAAAAGAAACTTGGAGATATTTTCACTGTACATATTGCTGGTGAGAAATATTTTAGTATATATCTTGATTTTTTACTATCAATGAAGTTAAACACTAATTCAAATGTTTAGTCTAGAATCTTACTGAACCAAAAACATTTTTCTGTAGCATAGACCAATAAAAATGACTCATATTTACACATATTATAAGCATAATAATTATCCATAGAATATCACTATCCACACGTGGATTTATATACATATATATATATATATGCATATTGACAGAATTCGTAGGTATGTTATGTATGAACGTAGATTTTGCCAGCACATTTAATTGTGTATTGGGGTTTTTTTTCCTAAAGAAGGGAGAACTAACATCATCTTGACACTGCACAGAAAAATATCAGATTAAATTTAGAAAACACTTTAAAAAAAAGTGCAGAATTTGCTCTCACACGTTTTACAACTGGTTGACAGGAACACAAGGGAATGAATGACACATTGACTCAGTGATACAATCAGGACTGGAACACAGGAACTTCCCGTTGCCAGCCTCTTTCTCTGATCATGCTTACTGAAAATAACAATATAATAAAGTATAGTATAACCTTGTTTCTTTCTGTATTTATAACTGTGTTACTACACTAGATTGAATACAAACATTTGAGTGATTTTACGTAGACACTTAGCTGTAGAAGAAAAACCTAGAATGAAACTGGAATCTTGAATGAAAGTTAAATTTGTAAATTTACATATGTATATGTATGTATATATATATATACACACAGATATCTACTTTTTACTAAAATCAATTTAAAATCCAGTGTTTGCCTCTGTTCAAGAAGGCAAGCTCTTTTTAGTGTAGGTGGATGTAACTGTCTCCTGCCCTTCTACATGCTGATATCCTTGTTCAAATGATCAACTTTAGAGTTAAGTCTATCTCATTTTTAGTTATTCCTGTATTTTTAGGGAGTTTCAAACAAAAATGTTAAGGGTAAAGTATAAAGCTTGCTCTGTAATTCCATGGCAGAAGCATTAGCTTTATATTTCCATATAAGTAATATTTTGCAATAAAAATAATTTTTGTCTTCAAATGTCAACTACTTTAATTGCAATCTGTGTGTTTAATTAATAAATTTTTTTTCTCTTAACAAATCTGTCCTTTTGTTCCTTTGGAAGAGCATTTTTATTCTATTAAATGTGTGATTTTTTTAATTCATTCAGGATTTTTTCTTTGGAAACTGGTATGCTCAGATTTTTTCCAAATTGAAAGTGAGTTTGACACAGTACAACACCAACTTTTGTTGAAATACAATCTTTTTTTATTGTTAATGTGCATTCACACTACAATAAAGTTTTGGCTTCCTACAAATACAGGTTAATAACTGTAATTCAGATATTATCCTAGTACATTCATAAAACCAGATACAGTCATACGTCATAATCCTAAATGTGCTTAATCAAATATTTATTTCTCTTTTACCTCTTTATTATGTTATGCAAGACTGTACTTAAAGGTTTGTGTGTTTAGGCAATCTATGAGTGTAATTTAGTTTCAGAAATCTCTATTTGCATCATAAACCAAATTCCATTTCAGATAATCTCCCCGTGTTCAAGTGTTTTCAGCAAGCCTCTCTTGATAAAGACTGAAGTAAATAGAGTGAATTCTGGATATCATTTCAGCCTTGTGCAGGGAAATGTTTGATTTTATGCATTTGTCATAATAGAGATACCACTTTTAGTTCTCTTTTTTCAGTATAGAATTACTGACCGTCAAGACTTCACTAAAGAGAAATAGTTTGTCATCTGCAAGTCAGGAAAGAAGCCTAAGCTAGTTAGTATCTCTTAACGTGTCCTGATCCAAAGACGTACAGGATTTCTATATGTCTTACTGATTTGACAAAGATGATGTTTATGCGTTCGGCAAACATAGCGTAGCCAGCTGTATGTGGACTATCATTACTTTACCCCCCTGGTGGATGTCTAAAGGTCCTGTCAAAAAATTCTATCAATATATATTGTTCTAATTATTGGTTCTCAAACTAGTTCATTTGGAAAATGCAGAACGATGCTTGGAGTTTCTGGCGTTGCCCCGTACCGGTGATGCGATTTTGCTGATTGTACTTTCCCATGTGATGAGCAAATGATTGTCATCCCTAAAAGTCGCAAGGGACATGGATGTCATCTTAATAAAGAAATTAAAAAGCAAATCTTTCTATGAGAAACAATGTAAATTCCTGACCTGTCGCAGAAAATAGTTCTCTAATTGGTTTTGTGTGGTGGTGCAGCAGAATCGTTTTCCCCAAACGTCATGCCAGCGCAGCACCACTGTACATCATTGTCAGCAGTTCAGCAGAATCTCCCTAATAAGTGGACGATTACGTAAATGCGATAGTCTTGGGGGGAAAAAAAAACCAGAAAATAAAAGAATAAGGAGGGGAGAGCAAGAGAGGGAGTCTGTGGCATTGAGATGATCATACTTCCCAAGCCTCTCTGCTTGTTAAGGGTCAGCAGCATAGGCAGACAGCTAGGTAAGAACTTAAAGAGCTTGAAACAGTTTTGTCATTTTTTCTCGGGATTAAACTTTTCCTGATAAGTTAGTAGGAGTGATACTGAACCTTGCATCACTCTCTCTAAGACTAACTCAACTTTAAATAAAATAATCTTACTGTTTTTTACTAAGCACACTTGCCTTTTCAAATACTGCTGCTAAGTCATTCTTTTCTTTAAAGCATGATACACCTACAGTAACATATCACATTTTTCTCTCTTAGGCAAAAGGTAATTTACATTAACTTCTTACCAAGCTGAAGCCTGCTGCAAGCATTACTGAAATAACATCCATCATTAGATGCCGTCTGAAATGCTTGTCTTTCATCATTAGCATTAAAAAGCTCCAGAATGCATTATTAGAGTAATTTCTTAACTATCATACAAATACTGGCTTCTGTGCTCAGATTTACCAAAGTTGACAATTTTCATATTTTCCACATCAATCTTCTATTTCTAGGAGACTGTAGAAACTAAATGGAGATAACCAGGCTATTTGCAGCACGGGTGTAATGCAGACTGAAGGACTGGATAGTGAAGTATGAATTCTCTGTAGCCATTTAAAAAAAAATCAGAGGACTTTTTACAGAAACAAGGATACATCTCATGCTTTGACTTGTTTCTACTGTATTAAATAAAATAGCTCAGTGACTTAAACTATTAAAAATTGGAATGTGACTTTTCTATATGTACATGTCTACTTATTTTTTGGTGTTGGAGGATTTTTTTGCAAACTAACAAGAAAAGGCTTAGTCTCCAGTGGTTTCTATATAAATACCTTCAATATTTCAGGCTTCCTGATATGTGGAGCCTGTGATATACCTCCATTGTTGGCTGATTTGGCATTTACCTTTTCCAATACTCTAAAGGAAATTCATGAGTATCAAGATTTTGGTTTGATTTCAGAAAAGGTTACCTTTTAGAGATAGTCTTGGCATTAGCTGCAATGGAAAGACATGGGAGGGGAGGGGGAAGATGCATTTTAAAATACCAAATAATAACTGGAAACTTTAGGAAAGATTTGAATTTATTAGTCTCTGACACCACGAGGGACAATCAGTGGGAAGAAACCTCACTGGGGACAATGACAGGATTTAAAAAGCAAGATTAAGGACCATATTGACACTTAAAAAATTTAAAATCGTAACTTGAGGTGAGAAAGTTTGTTCCACTTCGGATGTTTGCTGTTCAGGGTAGAGGAGGTGTTGGGGCATAGTTTTGTAATTAGCAATCTGTTCCTATATGGAAGAGACTGGGGTAAGCAGTGCAGCCACGTAGTGCATCTGTATGCGAGGATAACTGTAATTGTTAAAGGTCTCCATACCCACTCTCACAACAACAACTTTCTAACTGCCATTAATTAGCCCTAGATTTTAGTATTTTTCTAATTAAGAGATCTAAAATTAGATTCTGGATGACATACATGAACAAGCTGCCTTTGTTATAGAAGGGTTCCGCTTTCTGACTGTCTAGAACTTTACTAAATGCAGCAACAAGAAATATTTTGGTTTATGTGTTTATATATGTTGTTGACTTGCAGTGGTGTGGTCTGGAGCCTGAATTGATTCTACAAAATGAATTATATTTTGGTACATACTTACTTTTTGCTACCAGGAACCTGATGAGAATAATAAAATCAGGATCTGTAATATTCTGTTTCTCAGGGATTTTTTTTTCAAAGTATGTGCTAGTGTTGAGTGAATTTTGATTTGAAATTATTGCTAAAATAGTTTGTCGTCTGAAAACTCGTTTGCTGAAAATCATTTTCTTACTTAAAAATGATAAGAATTGATGTGCGTTTGCTAAGTGTCTGATTAAAGATCACAAAGAAACTCATATTTTGCATCAGAAATAAGCAGATGGTGGACAGATGGTTTAAATTAATATTAATTAAAAATCTTAACTTAAATTGTTTACCCTGTAAATGCAAAGTTAAGAAGCCAGCTTTCATCTTTAGGGTTAATAACACTCCAAATCTATTTATTAAAAATTGCTCCAATGGGCATTTTTTCCAAGCTTTGATCACAAAGATGGTAGCCTCAATAAAGAGCATGAAAGTGGATGAAAGCTGGAAAGAGAGAGTGATTCTAGGACACTTAAAAAAGATCCTGCACAGGTCGAGACTAAAAATTCTTTTCAGCCTCTGTGGTCTGGAAAGGAAGAACTGGTCAAAAAAAGGAGACTGAGAATTCAAGGTCTCTATTTCATGCCAGTTTCTCAACATATTTTTTCTTTAAAATTAAATTTACGTCTATGGTTGATTATGTTAAAGTAAAGCAAAATCCATGAGTATCTTAAGAACTCTCACACACTGTTGACAAAAAAAAAAAGGGGGTCAAATTCTGTCTCAGTTTATCCCTTCCATTTCCTTACTGGTTCACTGGGATTGCAGTTGATGTAATTGGGAGAGAAATTATGGCAGCTAATAATTGTAGAGGAAATCCAGAGTATACCCAGATACCACGGAGCACTCTGTGTGTGTATAAGTCAGAATATGGAATAACTATGATAATTCACGTATCACTATATGGTAACCATGGATACTTGTTGACATTTTTAGTGGTAGTGACTACTTTATCTTTGGACATCTGTCACAGAGCCAAATTTGGTCCTCAGTTAAGCATGTAGTGTTCCCATTAAAATCAAAGGAGATTTGTCCCTTTAGTAAGACAGAATTAGGCTGTAAGTGCTGGAAACTTTGCTATTTTCCAGATTTTGTAACTGGGATATTTCACAGAGGATGTGTACATTTTAATAAGTACCTTTTTCCGTCTTCATTCAAGGTAAGAATCAGGAACTCTAAATTTAGAATCATGTATGAACAGTTAAGATTTAACTGAGCTTTGGGAGCATTAACATTTTGATTCATGACAGTTCACCCAAATGCTTTTCTTTAGCAGCTGACTAGAATTTTAGGGAGAAATTGCAAGATTTTTTCTGGCAGGGGCGATTTAAAAAAGCATCAGACTTGATGCAATCCTATCCCTCTGTACAAGCAGCTGAAGTTATCACTATGTCACCTAATTAAGTACCCTGGGAAGGATAGGAAGTTGTTGGTGTACTCTGACACAGTGGGACTGTGTGTACCCCAAAGGAGGACCCATGGTAAAAATGGTAGCCTTCTACATTGTTAGCTATGACTTCAAATTCACATCCTAAGGTAGTCATGTTAAGCATACTAAGCACATTCTTAACAAAAAGTTAGCAAAACTTCAGGGGGAAAAAACAGATGTGGGAGAAGGTTTAAAATTTGGGGTTTTGCTGTGTGCAGTTAAACCTGTAACTGACAGATTTTGAGTTCCTGTGTCATCTACTTGGAAAAAAGCTGCCTAGGTGGCATGTTTTCCACTCCAGCCCCCATCATCCACTTTCCTCTATGAAGGTGAAATGTGTATGTTTCTCACTTTCCACTGGTAAAAACCTTCAATTTTCAAATGTTCCTATGACTCCACACTGTATTTTCATGAATTAGACCAGAGTAGTAAATGATTTATTTCAGAGCACTACAGTTGAAGAAATCACACTCCACTGTTGGCACTAACAGGAGATCAGTCTTAACAGAAATGGCTTCACACTGATTTTAGAAGAGCCTTCAAAGTGTGCACAGGTGGAATCTGCAACCTGACAAAGAGGATCTAAATAAAAGTTATTGCTTTTTTTATTATTTTTTCTGTGCAGATTTATTCACATATCTTTGGTTTTTTGGGTTTTTTTCTGCATGCTTTTTTCACAGTCTTTGGCTTATCAGTTATTGCTTCTGAAAGTGTCACCAGATTATAAAAATGCATATGTCTCTTAATTTTTTCTTTTCTTCTATTCAGGTAGATATATTACCTTTATCATGGACCCATTTCAATATGTTTATGTCATCCGGAATAGCAAGCAACTTGAATTTCATGAATTCGCTAATAAAATGGCTTCCAAAACTTTTGACTACCCAGCCTTGTCAAAAGGAAAATTCCCCGATCTCAAGGAAAACCTGCACAGAATCTACCAGTATCTACAAGGCAAGCCTTTGGATATCATTTCTGACCACATGATGAAAAATCTCCAGGATATATTTGAATGGAAATGCTCACAAGCAACAGATTGGGAAACAGAAAAAATGTACAAATTCTGCTGCTCTGTAATGTTTGAAGCCAGTTTTGTAACACTGTATGGAAGAGTTCCTGCTGCAGATGGCCACAAAGTTATTAGTGAAATCAGAGACAAATTTATCAAGTTTGATGCCAGCTTTCCCTATTTAGCTGCAAACATACCAATTGAGTTGCTAGGAGCTACCAAGAAGGTTCGAAAGGAGCTTATACATCATTTTTTACTTCAGAACATGACAAAATGGCTGGGAGGGTCAAAAGTGGTCCAAGCCAGACAAGATATATTTGAGAAATATGAGCTGCTTGGAGATTATGACAAAGCAGGTAGGAAACTTATGAATGATTGCTTGTCTAAAATAAAATAATTTACTATAGACCTTTGAAATAAAAAGGCAAAATGGCGACCTTGAAATTTTTTTATGTTCTTTCTAATTGGCTAATGATAAAATGTTTTACTCTGAAACAACCCTCTATGATAATTGATTTTTTTTTTGTGCTGAGGTGGTAAAACAAGATACTTAATGGTGATAATGAGAAAGATTATAACTGAGCTGCATTTCCTCCCCTTATTCCCCCCACCCCCCCGACATTACATTTCAAACTATTCTCATTAAGCAGAAAATTAGACTTCAGAAGCCTATTGGTCCTCATTAGCATTCACTGATCCTTGGCTGGGTCTGTGTCCTAACATCTTTTAATTAGCACACTGCAAATCTAATCAGTGTAATAAACGCTATTAATCTTCCTTTTCACTTATTTTCTCCCAGCACATCATTTTGCCTTCCTGTGGGCCTCTGTGGGAAACACGATTCCAGCTACATTCTGGGCCATGTATTATCTTCTGCGGCACCCAGAAGCTCTTGCAGCGGTGCGTGACGAGATTGACCATTTGCTGCAGTCAACAGGTCAAAAGAGAGGGCCCACATATAACATCCACCTCACCAGAGAACAATTGGACAACCTGGTCTACCTAGGTAATTTATTTTTATCTGTTAGGAAGAGAAGAGGGGCTCTCCCGGCAAACTCAGTTTATCACTCATTTCTGTTTACTGAGAAGGTGGAGGACACAGCTGCCTAATTGACATAATAACAGCCATTTACATCAATTATAAATTATGTAGTTTATAGCTGTAGATACTCTCATTGCATGTAAACATTAAAGCCTAGGTAATTAACTATGCAAGGTATGCAAAAGGCTAAATCGAAGCTTTGCAATTATTTGAAAAAAAGTTGATGCCTATTAAGTTGTTTGATTCTGAGCATCTGCCGATGTGTTAATGCATTTCAAATACTTCTGTATAGTACTGCCAAGAAAGACCCTTTTCTGAAATTAAAGTGGGGTAGTGTATTTAAACTGCAAATATATTTTTTTCCATGGGCAGTTTCTTTCTTTCTCTCCTTAACAAAACAAAAAAGACTTCTAAAGCAGGCTTCTGTTGGGCAATGCCTCCAAATGAAATATAAGAAGATAAAAATTCGCACAGTATAAATGGTGTTTTCAGTACTGAAAAAGTACCTTTATTCAACATAACGAACTTTAAGGCAGCTACACATCTTCCAGTTCTGGATCAGAGGTTCAAAGGGAGACCCTTGCCAGTGGCCATTGGAAGTTGTTTGATTCAGGAGCTGTATAGGCCTTCAGAGCATGAGCTGTTGATTTCACTTCATTTGCTAATGCACAGACACTGGCGAGAGAAATGGTAACATTAGCCCAAGAGAGGAGAGAGGGTATAGCAGGTAGGTACCTTTAAGCATCTGGAAGTCTCCACAGGGTAGACAACAGCTGAATAGAAGTTTAAAGGTTCAGTAATCCTCTCTTTTTAAATATCAGAAACAGTCCCCTGTTCAAAACAAGCTCATGTCTATAGGTCTTGGTAGCGCATGTCTATTATGTCTTGGTAGCTCATGGCGTGAACTGGTGTTCCACTCTTAAACAAAGCTTTGTCAAGAGATGATGGTGAAGCAGTGCAGTCTCTGTGCCTGGTTTGGATCTAAGTAACAGCTGCCATTCTCCAGGACAATCCAGTGTGACATGTCTCAAGAACCTATGTTCAAACTTGATTTGCTTCTTCTAGTACAAATATAAAATTGAGTTTGATCCAATTCCTTTATGTTAGAGCATTAATATTAATCTTATATAGCATGAGTCTACTAAGTTGGTTTCATCTGGAGTCATGGTTGTTTTGATGCAAATTTATCTCTAACCGATGGAGAATGCTTTTGAAATAGAGGAGATATTGGATGACAAGGACACTTCTGACATTCTAAGCATTTAATGTACTTTTAAGGAACACGAGTAAATCTGCTTCACATCAGAGCTAGCATACACCAAACAATAAGTTACCAAGCATCAAGAAGATCAAAGGAGAATTTAGTTTGTATTTGGAGACTGAGATGGGAATGGCAAGGAAAAGAAGGGGAAAAAAAGGCTCCCCAGAAGTGTAGGAATCAGGAAAATAAAAGCATGTAGTTCACTTAAACCATCTGGTGCAAAACAGTATGAACAGTTTAAAACATTAACTGTGTCATTTCTCTGCTTCTCCTTGAAATCTTGAAGTACCTTGGTAGCATTTGATTTATGTGTTGAGAGGGAAGTGCCACATCCTACTTTGTAGTATTCTTGTAACACTTTTGTTAAATTTTATAATCATGTTAAACATAATGTGATATGAACAGAAGCTCGATTTCAATCCTTCTGGGACTTAAGTCATAAAGGGCTGGATACTGTCCCATAAAATAATAATATAGAAAAAAAATCTGTACCATAAGAGAATTAAAGTCGTGCTTCGGTGGAAAGGGGAAAAGGGATGTTTTGTTAATAAATGTGGAGGCGGGACAAAGGTCCCAAATTGCATTGTTTGCACACCAAAAATTCCCCCGTTGCAGGAAGGCTCAGGCCACTGACCCCAAACCTCCAAGGCTGAGCTTTTCTTCTTCCTGCTCCCCTTGTGCCAACCCGGGGCGTAGGAAACTGGGATTTGTGTCCCTGCTCTTGAGTAAGGCAGACCAGGTGGGATTCTTGCATGTTCATCACCTTGTCATCTCATTCTCCTGTTTTAAGCGCTCTGATTCTTCGTCCTCTTTTTGGCCTACTATAACAAGAGACTTTTTTTTGATTCCTCATTCTATGGAGAACAAGCATGAATTGCTAAAAGTCTTTCTCGGGAAGCAGCATCGTTATTGTGGTCAGGTTCTTTGGGTCGAGAGAACAACATGGCCTGATTTATTCCTAAATTCTAAGCACAGTTATGTGATTTTTTTTAATTAAAAAAAAAGGCAGAAAAAACCCCAAACAAACAAACAAAACCCCCAAACCAAAACAAACAAAAAACTAAAACACTTTTAACCCAAAACAAAGCTAGCAAATGTTGGCCCTCATTATCTTTTTCTGATGGCATTTCTGGGGCAGCACACTTCATATTGTGTACGTAGGACAATACAATCCCAAAATCCAAATGTGTATTTGTGTGCACTGAGTAACATACATTGTTAGTCGTTACGGCTCACAAAAGAGTTCTAACATGGCAAAGGACACATGAGAATGGTCTGTCAGTTAAAATGGTTATAATGAAAATGCCAAGGGTAAAGCGGAGATATACTTAGTGCATGTTTAATGCTAGGCATGTTTAGTCAGTTCGTTTGTTTAATATTAGTCCATTCATTTATATGGTGAAGTATTCTTGCCTCAGGTCATTGCTGAATCCCAGATATTTCCTGCAAAAAAAGCACAGCTTGAAAAATTGTTTTGTACATGAGAAAGGATAGGAACCCAAAAACAACTAATACAGAGTGCATATTCATAACACAAATGCTAAGCATTAAAATCCTTGGTTGGATTGAAAGAAATAAATATATTTTTCTGGAATGGGCTGGGCAGTACCATTTAGTTCTTTGTAAGATGCAAATGTACTTGTTTCAAATTATCGTTTGTGTTGGCACACCATGATGCCTGTGGGTAAATGACCCCCCCAAATATTTGCATACTCAATAGCTATTTTCCTACAATACACTCTAATAATTATGATACCCTATTACCTGCTATGTGTTAGTGTAAAATTAACAATCCATTATTGCACAATAAGTTTTATAAAACATTTACCGATAGAGATCATGTTTAATTAAAATTAACTTGCCTACGAAAGCCAAATGCACTTATGATTCGCAATGACCTTTTATTACCTGCAGTCCCTTGTTTTGGCTGGATGATTGACAGCTTGCTGTTTGGCTACCATGTTGTATTTCAGCTGACAAGACTTTTCATTTTAACTCAATTTGCCTGCCTATCACAAGCTGGTGGCAGGCCAGGCTCAAGTCACCCAGCTTTGCCTCAGCAGCTTGCTCTATTTCTCATTAGTACGCATTTATTCAGTGGAAATTGGAAGACAAATGCTTGAAGGCATGTGAACTAAGTATAGCAAATTAGGGTTTAAAGACTGAATATTTATAAGTATATTGAAACAGTTTTTTAAAAAAAAAAGTCTAGAATGAATTGGAAGCTGAGTGCTAGCTTTAGTATATGAGAAATGAAGAGAGAAGTGGGAGGATTCTAAGAATAACAATACTATGAGAGATATCTCTCTCTCTCTCTTTTTTTCCCCTCTCTCTCTCTCTAGAAAATATGTAAAATCTCTCTGACAACACCTTATCAAACAACAGCCTGGCTTCTTTATGTAGCGCTCACACAGTGAAGTTTAGCATCTCATGTGTGTAAGAAGGGAGGAAAAAAATGAGGGTCATGTTCATTTGCTGCTTGGTTATCCCTTGGTATGCTTTAAATTGCCTTGTTTGTTCGGCACAAGCACAGAAACAGATGTTGCTCTACCGTGCTAGATAATTTACTGTACCTCACGGTGCAGAATGGAAGGCCTCCCAAGCTACCCAGCTGGTCTGTCAGCGGCGATGGCTGGTGTCTGCTGAACTATGACAACTGCAAGTAAAGGCTGCAGTTTTATTGTGCAGTTGTCATTCCTCTCAATGTATAGCTCCGGCATTTGTGGAAAGCTGACTGTCTATTTTTTTAATGTAAGCCTGCAAAGCCATATAAGCTCCATTCTCCTTTGTTGATCATAATGTGACTCATTACTTTTGTCATCTAATGATTATCGGCATGATCGCTCAGAGCAAGAGCCAAGCTTGCCTTCCACACATAACTGGTACTGGAAGGTAAAACAGATTTGTCATTTACGATCTGACCGCTAAGCCACACTTTGTGCTCCATTATTGTGATTAACTTCTGCGTAAGATATGCTGCCCGATTGTCATTTGGGATCCGGCAGCGGGCAGGGACTGTGCGTTTTCTGGGAGAGTGTCCACCGATAGGATGTGACCGCATCACTTGGGCGGTTAAACATAAACCTGCTATTTCGCAGCATCATTTTAATAATTATTTCTCTCTTTTTTTTCCCTCCTTCCCTCATCCTCGTTTGATTTCTGCTGTTGCTATGCATGTCGCCACCATTCCCAAATGGTGGACCAGCATGAAGTTACCAGCTTCATTTTCCACGGGTTGAAGGCAGTCTGGAGCAGAGACTGGACCCTTTCTTTGTACCGCGCAAAGTTTTGTTGCCAGAACGCTGCCAGTTGAAATCTATCGTGTCAGGTGCCTTGTGGCTATCCGCAGTAGAGGCCATCTTCTGGAACCAGGGTTCTTTTCTGGCTTCGTCACCAACAAGCCGATTTGACTCTGCCTGATTATAGTAACGAAGGCAGTCCAAAAGAATATGCACAGACTCACTGTACGTCACATTGAATCACAGCGCTGGCCACGCAAAGCTGACCGCAGCCTCATTTCTTTAGACAAATGCATGCTTAAGGAAAAACCTCCTGCAAGAAAGCATCCAGGGCCACTTTATTTGCTATGCATGCTGCACCAGATTTAATTTTTAGTGAAAGAACGTTTGTTATTATTTTTTTTCAGAGGCATCTACACTGGGTAGCTACTGTCTCTAATAAACTAACCTTTTGGGTGCAGCAATTGCAGTGCCTTGGTGAACACTTATTTGATAAGGAGGCTTATTTGATATCACAAAACGTAAATGCAGACACAAATGGATGATTACGTGCACATGAAACCCTATTTTAGGCTGTTTTTCACACTAATGATTAGAAGGAATCAAGTCACATATAACAGTGCCCATACACACTGGTGGAAAAATAGTCAGTTTTGATTACAAAGTGAGAGATGCAGCCCTAGACAGGAGCTACATGCTGATATACATGCTATCAGAATGATTTATGCAAATTATGCATATTATTCCCAAAGGAATTCCTCCTCAAACTGCCAGGATAAATTGCCGGAAATTAGCCATAAAATCTGTCGTGCTAGGAGCAAAAGGTGAAGGCCACTGGGAAAGCAAGGACATTCAGCTTCTGGAGCCTTCCAGAATGTGATGGTGGAGACAGAAATCTTGCTTTCCCCAAAACCTGAAAGAACTATGTTTTGTTTCCTCTCACTCAATTAGAAGTGTCTTTCTCTCTTAAAATTACCAAGCAATAATGAATTGCTTTCATTCACTCTGACCGTAACAGACACTATCATTTGGCAGCGTAGCGCATTGAAAAGAAAATACATTTAAAAATTCTCAGAATGACTGCAGAATTAACAAGCAGAATGATCTTTCTAACATATAGTCCTGCCATTACATCCAACAGCTTTTGAAAAGCAAGCTAAACAGCTCCATGGATGCTTTGGCTGGTGTTTGCTTGCAACCGCCAAAATATATGTAAATGCATAAAGCGTTCATATCTTTTTATTGCCTTGTTTTCAACATGATGCCTGAATAATGACTTTTCACCCAAAACTTGGTACTGCTTACAACCGACAGGATTTCTCAGCACCATCAGTGAGAATCACATCGGGAGGTTCAGCATCCCGGCTGCCTCACCCCAGCCCTGCGGGGGTGTTTATTGCCTCCTCCTGGTCTCTGCTTTATGTTTGGTTTGGTTTATGTGCTTTTTCCCTTTCTTTTCCTTTAGTCTGCTCTACTAAACCCATCGAGATTAAGCAGCTGTAGCCATGTATAACTTCCAGTCATCTTCCATATTTCTGATGCTTCCCCCCCTCCTCTGCTTTTGTTTAATCGCAGAGAGTGCCTTAAACGAGAGTTTAAGGATGTGCTCGTCCTCCATGAACATCCGCATCAGCCAGGAGGACTTTGTTCTCAAGCTTGAAGGGAATCAAGAAGTCGTTTTGAGGAAAGGAGATTGGATAGCCCTTTACCCGCAGATTTTACACATGGACCCTGAGGTCTATGAAGATCCTAAGGTAAACATTCAGCTGGTGCTACTCTTTCTACTCCAGGCACATCGAAGCAGCCAAGCCGTTTGTGATCTGTGGGTTGTTTTTTTTTTTTACTGCTGTTCCTTCTTGTGGAACAAATCTTCCTACTTCCAGATGTATTTTCTACGGCCCTACAGGTCAAAGGATTCATGGCCTGAAGAGAGAAATATGGTGATGAGACTGACTGCGACTGCTTTCAAAGGAATTGACAATTGCACATTGACTACCATAAACTTTAGGCTAAATGTGGGCTTTGTTTGGCAGTGGATCATTTGATACCCAAGGAGGGCTGAATAATAGAAGGTGGTTTAAATAGCAAATAATGTGGGCCATTTAGCTAAGTGCCCGCAAAGCATCATTGACTCTCTGAAGCCCTATAATAGCAGTGTCTTACTTGAGCCTTATGCTTTTTCACCTCCCTTCGTAGGGATTCACCCCTTCTTGATCAATTAGAGTGTTGTGAACTTGAGACTGTAAAGCTGTTGCTCTGCAGCGGAGCTCGGAGGGTAATTGTGTCATCTCCTTGTATTTTTCTCTGACGCTCGAGTTAATGAATATCAAAGACTCGAAATTAATCCACCCTGCCTCAGCCTTAATACGGCTTCAGAAGTTCACCACCTGCATGCAAATTGAATAGTCCTCTCAGCTAGGTTGCTCCCCAGATTGCTGTCCCCAGCCCAGGGTGCAACAGAGGAAGAGCAAGGAAGAGCAAGGGTGCACGCTGAGGCTGTTAAATGGCTCCTCTGCCTCAGAGGCAAGAGCTTGTACCTGATCCACTCCACCCTCCTATACTCCTAGAGCAAATGGCTGTCTCCCATGCTGATTTCCATCCTTGGCATTTGAGGCAAAGAAGAACTGGATTTTTTTGCATGCTTGTAGAAAGCCCATGTTAGAGACATTGCTCCCTGAGGCTCTCCCTTTCAGGGATTTAAAGATGTGAGGTTGCAGAGAAAAGATGAGAATCAAGTGTCTGGTTGGTGTGGGACAGCATCTCGCTGTGCAGGAACCCTGCCAGCCTCAGTGAGAGGAGGTGTGGAGCATGTTGGAGTCAGCAGGAGTAAGGTGCAGTCACTGGAATGAACGCTGGAGCCATGAAAATTAAAATTACTTCCAGGAGGGTTCTGCTGACTGTCCCCACCCAGAAATGAAGATAAAGCCTGCTAAAAAAAATAGGATTTTAAAAATAATCCGTCTACTGGCAAATAGTTTTTTAATAGTTTTATCCTTAAAAAGGATAGATAGCAGCTAACTGATAAGCTTTTTTTCATTTTATTCTTAACACTTTATTTTGGAGAACATTATTGATTTGTCAAAAGTCCATCTGTTTGTTTAGGTCCTAGACCAAAAGCATCAATGTGGAAACTGATCCCCTCCCTTATCCAATAATTGCCGGAATATATTACCATATTTCCATTGCTTGAATATATCTGCTTAGTATCAGCTCTGCTCAGCTTTCACAGTACAGCTTTAGTTCATATATTTTATCTTTTTGATAGTGAATGAGCAATCCACACATTGCAGTACATTGATTTCAGCACATGGGCCCTCTCGAAAAGTGGGGAAATCACTGTTCTGTTTGGTTCTTAAAATATGCAGTGTGCTTTCAACAATAACTACTGAGGATCAGATAGAGATGGAGAATGAATTTTTTGAAAGGTGCAGTCTTGAGCTTGTCATGTATTTAGGGAAAACTTTTCCTGGGAAAACAGGCAGCTTGACGAGATAATTTTGTAGCAATGCTTTTTCTCCTGGATACAGAAATTGAAGTTCAAGCTATCTTCTGCTTTGGCACCATATTGTATAAGTGTAAGCATATATTGGTGACCTCTTTCTCCACACATTAAGGCCTAAATAAATGAGTCAGTTTTCTATGAAGTGAATAAGTGAACCCCTAAATCCTAACACAGCTAGTTGAGGATCTCAGTAAATTAACTCTGCAAAACCTGTTGAGTGAAATATCAGGAAACCCTGCAGGAAACCCTATATGATGACTTCCCAAACAAAGCTAAATACAAGATTTGACTTACATCAATCACAGGAGATTGCTCAGTTTTCATAATACCTGTAGCAGGCCATCCACACAGAACTTCATTGCCTGTCTTTGCTCACTGTCTTCACGTCTTCCTTGCCTTGAGCCACCCTGTCTCTTCTAGGAGACCTCATGCATAGCTGAAAATTTCTTCATTGTCAAAAATTAGTCTTTATGTAGCTAGTGAACTAGCTTTTAAGGAAACACTACTCAACTCAAGGGGCTTCAGCAGCACAAGCCTGAGTCACTGTCATTGGTTACATTCCTGTCTTGAACTTGTTTTCTGCTTTCCCAATTCCTTAGACACCCATTTATTTTTTGTTAAAAGCAAGTACAAGTCTCAGAAGGCTCTTATCATGACAAAGAAAGCATAAGGTTTGACCCAGTGTGTCTGTGTGTTCAATACCACAGTTCTTAATTGCTCCAGACACCAGAAGTGCACCTTGTGGAAATGTTTGAACAAAGCGAAGAGCTCTGAATGGGATTGGGTTGGGTTTTTAAGCTATTGCAGTTCATATTTAGTGGTGCTTTTTTAGACCAGCAGGATTTAGATTTCAGGAAGTGAATCTTCTTGTTATTCTGGGCTTTCATTTGTTACTGTGCTACTTCAACTGAAGCAATAACTTCCCAGGGGAAAAGATAAGGGCATGCTTCCTTTTGGCTGAGGTGTTCAAAGAGATTGAAAAGCGTTACTTGTCAGTGGAAGTAGACATAGAATCACCTTTATTTTTGTGGAATATCCAGGCCTCTGCCATTTAGAGAAACAGGCTCCTGTTCTTCAGCACCCAGAGTTACATCCAGTCCCTTTCTCATAGACCACCTCCCCTGACACTGTTTTTTCTCAACAGCAAGACCTGCAGTGCATGGTCTTCAGGGCCTCTAATCTGGTGGGTAAATCAGTATCAGTGTATTTTTAACGGTGGTGTGGGTTTTTGTAATCAGTTGAGGTCGGTTTCTGTCTGACTGACTTGTTCCCAGCCAGCTCCAAATGGCTGCTGCTATAGCAGATGTATGCAAAGCAGGACAAATGCTAATGAGTGACCATAAGCAAGAAGTGTCTGTCATTTTTATTCAAAGCATGCAGGAGGGTTTTGTAAGTGGTTAATTTGCCATTGACTGAGTGAGGATGCCAGATCTCCTTCATTCAAAAACATGAACTATCTCTACACAGGGATCCTGCTACTGGAAATTAGTCAGAAAGATGTTCAGTTTATGGAACGTAGGTTACAAGTACAACCTCAAACCTTACTTTGTAATGGTCAGTTACTGGCAGTTGTCCTGCTTTACTCACAGCTTCTGGAGCAAAACATTTAAAGGAAAGATGTGGCAAATTAAGCAGCAACTATCTCCAACTGAAATGAAAATTGACTGCAAAGCATCAGATCTGGTTTTCAAATAACCTGCACCACTAGGTGCAAAAGAAGGATGGATTTTGCTCTAGCTTGCAAGAGCAAGATCAGTGCAATGCATTAATTTATTCATAGGCATTTGCAGAATTTGTCAGTTTATCCTTATTCATGATGTATGCACCACACTAAGTGCGTATGATGCTTTACAAGAAAATTGTCCTTCCACTAAGGTTCATTGTCCCTGCTACAAAGCGGTCAAAATCTAATTACAATCAATACAGGCCAGACACTCAGTGGATGAGATGTGGAAGTTGAAGGAACTTGATGTAAAAGGGCTAAGCTAAGTAAGTGGATTTAAGGAGTGTTCTTTGCAGGAAAGATAATGTGAGTTAATGAAACTTGAGGGAACCAAGTATAAAGAAGAAGCTGTCAGCTCCTTGTCTTCCTCTTTATCTTATTTTCTGGGTTTCAGATGCGTTACCATTGTGCAAAGAAAGCAGCTCATGTAACTGCCTTGTTAGATATCACGCTGTCTCTCTCTCTTTTATTTTCAGGAGTATAAGTTTGATCGATACATAGAGAATGGAAAGAAGAAAACAACATTCTACAAGGCAGGAAGAAAACTGAAGTATTTTCTAATGCCCTTTGGCTCTGGGATCAGCATGTGTCCAGGGAGGTTCCTCGCAATGAATGAGATGAAGATGTTTCTTTTCATACTATTGTCTCATTTTGATGTAGAACTAGCAGAAAACAAAGCTGTCAGACTTGATAACAGTCGTATGGGCCTTGGTATCCTCCTGCCAGACGTTGATATTGCCTTTCGTTACAAGCTAAGGTCCTTAAGAAATTGAGCAGCTGCCTATATGCCTTCTACTAATCTCTATGTTTGCTCTGTTTCATCACTCAGCTTTATATTTTTGAAAACATTTGCTTTTCCCTCTCTGCTTTTACCTCCTTCCTCTTTGTTTCTAAGGAGAAAAGCCATCGGGCTGGAGGTAGATATAAGATGCAGGGACATGCAAACTCAATTTGTCCTGCTTGAGTTGTGAGAAGTGAGATGAGATGACAAGACTGGCCAAGTAAATAACCCAGCATCCCTACAAGATGGATCCCCATACTCCTGGCCATGAGATGAGCAATATTTACAGGGAGGATGAGAGCAAGCTGAATCCAGGCCATTTATATGGGAAACAGGCTCAGCAGCCCTCTGTCATGGGGGTTCACCCTTGTTAGGTTGGGAGGTCCCATATACCCATCATCTCAGCATCTGCTCAAAGAAGCATAATAGCAAGAAAGGGGGAACTTAATTCTAGGGAGTGAAAGCATTTCTAATGGTTATTATTCTAACTTTTTATTTGCTCTGTTCTCTTCATGGTCTTGAGTGTCTTAGCCCTTATTTGGAAGATGTGATGGAAGTTGTGTGGGGTGGTGGAAGATGATTTGCAAGAATGTCTTACTGGCAACACATTTCTAACTTCAGTTTTATGTACTGAGGTTGTATGCTTTGCTTCTCTTACTATTTTTTTTTGTTGCAAACTGGTTAAATATGATTTTTTCCCTGCAGTCATTTAAAGTCAGAAAGGAAGTTCTGTTGACTTTAATAGGCTCTGGATCAAGCCTAAATTATCTATTTTGGCTTTTGAGCCAAAAAGGTATATTCTTCATGGAGGAAATATATGAGCCTGTTTGAAAAGATTCTGTCATCTCAAAAATTATGTTCTCTTTGTCTCACTGTTTTCTTAGTAACACGTTCATGCATTTATTTTGACTATTTTTTACCTTTGTCCATTTCTCTAAAAAGGCAAAAGAGGAAGAGGCCTTCAAGGGCAAATGTGGTATCTAAAACTACTTTTTAATATTGTTTTACTGTGCCTAAGTTTTGAATAGGCAGAGTGGTGTGACCTGTGTTTGGAAACAGACTTGTCCATCTGCAAAATTGGAAAGTAGGCTTTTCCTTGGGGCCAAAATTTGAGTGAGTGAAAATTCTGGGCAGCCACAGCAGTTGTCTGTATACTGACTGCCCAAACTGCTTCACTGGGTGACCAGCTCTTGTTTCAAAAATCAATTTCCTAGTGCATAGGATCTGAGATTTTAGACTCTGTCTCTCTTCCCAGGCATCACTTTGGAGACTGATGAGGATTCTCATCGCTGTCCAGTCTCAATTTGCCAAGATGATAATTGTGATGGGAGAATAGCCATGTCTGTGGGCCTTGCCTTGTGTTCCCAAAAACCATCTCTCTTTAGAATGTGCCAGTGTAAGTCTTTCAAAATCATAAATTTTACTCATCTCTGAAGGACTTCATGATCTATGGATGAAAATTGCTACCTACATACTAAGGATTAGAATTATTTATTGTTTTTGTGTAGGAGCTTGTTCAGTTACTCGTGTAAAGCACATACCCTAAATAAGCATCAGCAACCATAGAAAGGCTTTCAGAGATTGGCACAGCCACATTCCAAGTCCTCCAAGGAGAAAATTGTGGTTTTGTGAGATATATTGGATGAACATTTTCTATTCATATATAGAATCTATAATGTCTAGAAGTCTGGAGTACACTTACATTAAATGGGCTTTGCAGTTAATTCAATGCTTTAACTTTGCTTCAATATTTAATCACCAGCAAAAGCTGATTATTGTTTTGTGCCACAGAATAAAATTGTTTTTTATGGAGAGATTCTTGTACTCAGGTTACTTACTCCTGCGGTTACTCTGTAGAAGCTGTTCTGTACTCGGCTATAGCTCACAATCCAGTTTGGTCATTAGAGTCTCGTTTATTGGGAGAGGAAATGTTGGTATCATTACACTGTTGACTGTATTCCATTATTGCTTAAATGTAAGCTGTAAAATGTCTCATACCACAGTTATGATAAATCTTTTTTTGGCATCCAACTTTAAAACAAACCTGAAGCAACTGTGAAAATAACAGTGAGCATTTGTTTTAAACAGAAGACTCTTTTTTATAATTGTGGTCTATTTTTAGGATTTTGAATTAGAATATCACTGGCTTCTGCATAATTTGATAGGGCATAATAGGACTGTGCCAAAAGGACATGGAAATCGTTAGTAGTTTCAGATTAGTTTGCAATCAGTTGGTATAGTATCTATTTAGAAATTAAAAGAAGAACTAGATTGTCTCCAAAATATCAAATTAAATCTGTAGGGTATGCTCCATTTAAATAAAAAAGAAAAAAAAAAGAAAAATAGTCAGAATCTTTCCCAAGAGTTGCAGGAAACCTCCATGAAGACACATGGTGGCCTTGCGTCAGAGTTGGAAAGCAGTCTCTGCACCACACAAGAGGCCAGCTTTTTGCTGGGAAAAAAGTTTTATGCTCTTTTTGCTCAGGCACTAAAATAATCAAATGTTAAGCAGGGCCTGCCCAGCTTGTCCTGGAATTGTGTTCCCGGTAACCCAGGCTCCTGGTAGATTGGTTTTGCTGGTAAGCAATGCATCAATACCTTGGCATGCTCCAACTGCAGAGGAAGTGAACCTCACCCCCATCTAAAGCAACGACAGCTAGAGCAGGACAGAGGAAATCCTGCTCTAGACCTTTGGGTCCATGTACTCAGTAACTGAGGAGGTGACATATTGAGAGCCAGCAGCTGCTGTGTCTCAGGAGTCAGTCAGTCTCCATGGAGCTGGGATTCAAAGGCCCCTGGTTTTGGTATTTCTGGTCAATAAACTGAGGCAGCACAACAGGGTAAGGGTGCAGCATCCCTGGAAGTACTACCTGGAGCAAAGCTGGCCACAGAGTGCTGTGCCAAGGAGAGCATGTTTCATAACGCAGGGCACAATGCTGTTTTTGATGATCTCCTCTGGTGTAATACCCAGAAGCAACCAGTTCTGGGTGTCTGTCACTGGAGCACTAAGATGGCAAAATCATCTAAGCAGAAATAGCAGTGCTACTTGCAATCATTCAGGTGCCAGTGGGGCTGCCGGGAAAGGTGGTGGGAGGCAGTCAGACATGTTCTTCCTTGTCCCAGCTCTCCACCTCAGCAGGAGGTCTGCCCTGCCAACCCAGCAGTGTTTGGCATCCACTGACCTGGCAGGTGTAGGGTCAGGCAGGAGGGGTGCATGGGTACCCCGTGAATTTCTCTGCTGTTCCTCCAGTGAAATGGTGCATTCACTCATCACTTTGAGATGTGACTCAGCTGGTCACTACCAGCCTCTGACTATGAGTTGTTGATATCTATGGCTGTATCAATAGTATCTTTTACTATTAGAAAATATATATAAGCACCTTTTTTCTCATATAAAATGGGTTTATAGAGTCAATACAGCCCTTTATAACACCGAAGAAGAAAAGTTAATTTATCATGAACTAATGTGAATGCTAAAATCTCATTTTTTAATTATTATTATTATTGTAATCTACAGATTGTGTTTTCTCTATTTTCATGCGGGCACTCAAGACTGCTATAAGCTATTACTTAAAAAACCATCCAATATATGTGTACCTGTTTGTAAATTAGACTTTCATATCTCTGCCAATATATCCTAATGTACTAACATAAAACCATGTAAGCGTTGTTCTTTAGTTTATGCTTTTAAGCCAGTTGCATGTCACTACTTTTGGCACTGCTATTTTTATGAATAATTACTGGTCTGTGAATTTCTCTTGTAGAATTATACATGATCTTTTATTTTGTCATTACTGAACTTTCTGTCATTCAAAAGACTGTGAAGTGCTCTTAATTGTGCAAACTGACATTTGTATATAGATGAAAAACAGCTAGGTTCTACATTAATAGTTAATATCCATCATTCAGGCTCGTAAGTTGACTAAGGTATATTGTGAATTTCTGAGTAAGAAAATTGAAACTTCATTATTTTAGTAATCTAACATCTTAAATGAATTTTGTATTTCAAGGAAGCAATAAAAAGGAATATATATATTTTAATATTGAATGACTGTCCATGGTATTTTTTCCAGCTTATGTTTACACTTTTCTCACAGATTCACAACTATTGCTTTGATTTTTTAATTATTGTTTCAACATACTGCATTTTTCTGTAACTTGATCTTGAAAGATATTTCTGTAAGGAAAAAAAAACCAAACCTTTAATTCGGCACTGGCATAAAGCAACTCTTTTGAATTTAGGAAATTATCAAGTCTGTTTTTTATCCCCCCATGAAATATAAGCCAGTTCTCATCAGATGAGGAAAAAAACCTAGTACATCTGACATTCCTAGGACGGTATTAAAATTAATATAAAGATCTGCAATCCACTAGCTATTCCTAAATGTAGCTCCTAGGCTTTTCTCTTTGCAAACCTCTGTGTAGTACAAGATGTATTACCTAGAGTAAAATATTCTGTCTTAGCAGATCATTCATTTTAAAAGGGGAAATGAATGAAATTGCTACAATATACAGCACTGCACCAGCAAAGCATTACTTGACTTTTCTAGGTATCACTGTATAGCTACTGAGTTCTACAAGTAGGTATTTAATATCAAGGTTGTACCCTAAAGACATCAGTGTTTCTTCATTCCTTCATGCAGAAATGCTTGTCAGGTATGTCTGTGAGGGTTGTTGAAGATATGTCCTAGAGAAGACAGACCTGCAGCATTTTTCTGAGTTTGATAAATGTATGTGTAACTGTGCAACTGTTTTAACTCCAGGCTATATTAGAAGTTACTGAAGTTTATAAATTAAAAAGGTGGCATTGTTTGAGATCTTAGAAGGGCACGTTTCTGAGTGAGCTTTTCGTAATGTCTGAAAGATAGCTTGGCAGGGAGGAATTAATTAGATCTCTTAACATTGTATTTTATCTAATGTTTTGTTTGATACTAAGTACTTTCTTACCATTACTTGCATTGCACTGTATTTTAAAATTATTCAAGACATTAATCTATACATGACATACGCTTAACTCACGTGAGTAGAGCTATTCCATCAGATCATAGAAAATTAAGTATTTTTCTGCCTATTGCCTAAACCAGCATATGTACCCTGGCCACATACCCTCAACATATCAGAAAAATTATCTCATTATAAAAACACCTCTTGAAGCTATGCTTATGAAAGTATTGTGATCCTTAAGTTACTGTCTATGTTTATAAATAGTAATATGAAGAAACAATTGCTGCATATATTAAAAAAAAAGTAGACAATGTCCCATTTTCATTTAAAACCAAGAAACTATAGTGGGATCTTGATCCTCATACAAACCAGTACTGTGCCTGCATAGCCTATTGTATGCATCAGCCTTGCCTGGGATCTCAGGTACTGAGGTTGTGTGAGTCCATCATTCGTAACAGCAGAAATGTGCTTGTCTTCAAAACTACTTACACCAAAATAAATAATCAAAAGAAGTCTAAGCTTCAGCTGTTCTTGCTGGAAGCCTTGCAGGATTCTATCTTTAAAAGTTTGTTAAACCGATTTTGATGTGTTGGCTGGGTTTTTTTCCCCAAAACCAGCAGCTATGAGTGCGGCAAAGTTGAATAAAAGTCTAAGTTCTGGCTACAGGGAGAGTAAAATTCAGTAAGCAAACACCCTGTGATGACTTTTGACAGTGACTTCTTTCCTATCAGCTCATCTTTCCAACTACCCCTTTCTTCCAAATAGTTTGGTCGCTAACTAACCTCCTACAGGCAGCAAGTCTTTCACTGTTTAATTTCCATCTTGTGAGCCAGTGAATCGCCTCTCTTCGCAACGTATCTTTCAGTTGCTTTCTAAAAATGAATTCTTTACAGCAGCTTCTCGCAAAAGCGGCATCGCAGGTGGCTGCAGCTGGGAGAAGTGCCGCCTCGCTGAAGCTTTGAACCTGCAAAGCGGATGGGCATTAGATGAGCCCGGGGTTGAAGCACGGGGGGATGCCGGCGCTTCGGGATGGCTCCGCTACGGGATGCCCCCGGCCCGCGGCGGCGGCAAGAACCCGCACCCTCGCCCGCCCGACTCCCCTCCCGCTGCCCGCCGGGCTCCCGGCGCCGCTTGGGCTCCCTGCGCTCCCACCTGCACCGGCCCCCGACAAAATCAGGGGAGAGGGAGGGTGAGGAAAGACTCCTGCCGCCCCTTCCTGAAAGCAACCCGAGCTTCCAGGGATGCTGCGGTGGTACAAGGGGACGGGACCCCGAGGAGGTTCCTAGGGAAGCGGACTGGGTGTTCGGTGAGTTTGGAGAGCTTCGGCTGGTGAGAGGAGGTTTACTCTGGAAAGGCGATTGTTTCCCCTAATCCTCAATTATGAGCATTTAAAAACAGTATTAGAGGGGCAATCTGTTCTGCAACTTCTCGGAAGAAATAATTGTTGATTTAGATAAGCACTGATCCCTTCAGTGTTTGATGAAGACGTTAATTTATGGCTGTCTAGCAGTTTATGGCGGTCATTAGATTTTCAGCTTTGTCTCTGTTCGAAATGTATCTTTATTTTTTATTTTAATCCGACACAATTATGTAAGAAAACGGTTATGTTTGATCTAAAATACATCATTTTCCTATAGCATTTCAAATTATTCACAGATCATAGTTCTTATATGTGCATATATGAATTTAAAAATACAGCAGTAAAGTGCTTGAAACAGACCATAAATTTGCTTCCTATTTTATTACACGTCTCTGAATCAGGTTGAGAGGACAAGGGCAACTAGGGGCTTGGGGAAAGATTTAACCCTTCCTGAGGCTGGAGAACCAACCGAACCAAAGCAAATTCCCCTCCGGAGCGCTTCGGGGATGTGCGGGGGGCGGGCTGGGTGACACCGAGCTGATGGGTGACCCCGGGGAAATGGGGCTGGCTTCAGCTCTTTGCTCATTTAGCAGATGTCCCTTCTGCGACGTATTTGGCTGGTAGGAGCCCCAGAGTCGGGCCGGGGGGCCGGGGCAGCCATGCCGTCTCCCGCTCCCGGCAGCGGGTCCCACCTTAGCCCCTGCCCCGGCAGGATGGCCCCGGAGCGGCGGGCACAAGCGGCTTAACCCCTGCGGCGCCTGCCTCAGCCAAGAGCAATACTCCACGGAGAACCTCTGTTACGCCTCTGATAGGCTCCTTTAGTGCCGGAGCCTTCCTAGACGCCGGACGGGCCCCGACGGGCAGCAGCGACCCCGCGGAGCGGGAGGGTGGCGGGGGCCGGGGCCGGCGCGGAGCCCGGAGCGACTTCCCCAAAGTTTTGTCCCGCTCCAATAAGGACCTGTTTCGCCATTTGCTTACAGCTTCAGGATCCCTCCGGCCTGTGGGCAGTGGCGGTGCGAGCACAGTTAAAAATGACACGGGAGAGAGTCGTAGAGTCCTGGCTCGTCTATTTAACCCCCGAACAACCCCCCTCCGCCACCACCAAAAAAAAAAAAAAAAAGGTGTTAATTGCTGTAAAGTTTCCGAGCACGTGGATAATTTACTTTGACTGCTGCTTTTTAATTAAAAGCAAACTTATTTATGTTTCTGATGTTTATATTACGCGATTTAATTACGTTTAGAGGCAGCGTCGCACTTTTTTTTCCCCCTCTTCCACCCTAAATCACATTTTCATTAAAGGTTTTAATAAGAAAACTCACTTGACCACTATTCATTATCTAGTTCCCTCCATGCACACAAGTTCACTTACCCATTCATTTATTCACTTACTCATTCCAGCAGATCCGCTGCAACTGCTGCTAGCAGGGATGTGAACACTCATAATTATTTGTCAAAGTCTGGAAAGTGTATTATCCCTTCTTCTAGTGGTAATTAGTTACCATAGCATCTAATACGTAAATGTGCCCAGAGCACACCATTAACAGTTAAGCGGAGGATTCAATTTAACACATGATTATATCTTTCATAAGTCATTACATTAGGAAAGCCAATGTCACTCATGCTGGGACAATCTCAGGCTCCGAGTCGGGGTAAGGGGCCGGGGAAGGGAGCCGGGCTGGGCGGCGGGGGCAGAGGGAGCTCCGGGTGAGGCTGGGGGAGATCCCGGTTCGGTAGGGCGGTTGGAAACCGAGAAGAAGCTCTTTTGAAAGGGGACATGTTCATTTCTGGCTAAGTCATCTGTCAAGATTTAAGGGGGGCGGGGGAGCTTCTCTCCTCCCCTCAGCCCCGACATACACGACGCTCGCCTTGGCAAGACCTTCCCAGGGACTGGCCCAGTGGCTTCGCGCCGCTTCCCAGCTATGATGCTCGGTGCAGGGAGACAGGAGAGTGGAGCCAGGAGTGGCAGCACCTCTAGCTGGCACGGACCCCTCGCCCCCCTCCGAAGCAATCGAAGACGAAGTAAGGGGGCCCAAAGTCGGGCGGCAGCGGTAGCCAGGGTTTTCATTCCGCTGTCCCGTCGCTCCGAAGCAGTGACAGACGAAAGAGTGGTGAAGGGAGAAACCGCTCCAAGTGCCACAGGCGGCAGCGGCCGCCCTCGCTCCCCAGAGCCGGCGGGGAGCATTCCAGGTGCGGCCCGCACACTTCGGACCCTGCCCACGGGAGCCGGGAGGCAGAGCGTGGGCCTCCTCCAGCCCCTTGCCTTCCCCACAGCCCAGGTCCCGTCCGCTCCAAGAGTTTGCTAGGACCTGGCTTGTCTTCCCCCACCCCACGGCCGGGCAAAGCCAAGCAGCGCCCGCGCCTTCCAGGGGCACATCCCCGGAAAGAAAGCCCGCTCGGTAGCCAGAGACAGTAAGCGGTAAATATTGCAGCAAATGTGCCCTGCGATGTTATATGCACGAACACACACTCACACGGACACACACACGCGCACACACACACAGGCACGCACCACGCCAAGCTGGTGGCGGTGGTTAATTCCTAATCAGAATGATGGACAGCAGAGACAGAACAATACAAACTAATGGCTGTGTTGCTGATCACTTTACCCCTTGATTAAAGACACCCAATTATGGCGCAGAACAGTGTCGTAATTATGTTCCTTAATCACATCCAGGAGGTTTAATTGCCTTAACGATGTGTTTCATTAAATGAATTTAGGTATTATAGTCGACAGTTTTCATATACAGTTGTTTTCAAATTAACATAATATTAGACATCGTCATGGAAATTGTTTTAATAATCATAATTAGACGCACCCAGCCTTTGTCTAGTAAATGCTGAGAGACGCTTCTCCTTGCGCCTGGGGGCTGATCTGCCCACCCTCTCTGGG